CCATAGGCGTTCAGTAAAGGAGTGTGCATTTGCCATGCTCACTTCTAATTATGGCTGTGGTTGGAGAAGGTACTTAGAAGTGGTCCTTTTAAAATTTGTATCCCTTTATTGCTTGACTTACGTCTTTCCAATACTAAAGTGCAAAGCTAATTACTGACAATTTTCGTGGACTTTTGCTCCTTGATGTGGTTTTGTCAGCACTGCAATTCTAAACAAAGCTCATATTTAAATTATTTAATAATAAGGCTTGAGTTAGGAGTCTACTGAGAAGAATAAGAGCAGTTTATATCTCTCTGAGAAAGCATAAATTATTGCAACACATGCAATCATCTTGAGTTTGCCTTTCCCGTTGACTTCCAAACAAGTGATGCTGCAACAGCAGGGGACATAATACAGGGAGCCAGACTGATGACCTCATATTTATATATGGTCCTCTCTGAAACCATCTTTTCAGCTGCAGTCAGATACTTTTTAAATTAAATACAGATTGTTGATCGTTAATTTTTCAACATAGAGGTTGGCTTAGCTGTCAGGCGCTGCTATGATTTTGCAAGTGGCAATTCTGACCTTGCCAAATTTGACCCTTTTCATATCAAAATGATAAGTCATTTTCAAACAAAGCAGTTTGCAAAAACCATTTGTATTACTTTTTGACTGGCATACATTGTGAAGTTCTAGTTGATAAACAAAAATCTAAATTCCCCGCCATTTTTTTTCTTCAGTTAAAAGGTCTCCTTTCTTTTAAAGCTTGAAAGAAGTCACAGTTGAGTTAATTATTTTCACGATATGTAATGGGAAGAATATTATCTGACCCAGCAAGCGTTAGTACCTTGCTTTGTTGGGTTCTTTTAGGACTTGTGTTTATTCATGTTGAGTTTTGATAATCATTAGAAATTATTTGGGTTCTCTTTGCTGTTTTTTCTGCTTTTCCAAATCTTTGCATTTTCCAACTATATTGGAAGCCTAAAAGACTGAAAAGGCACATTCTGTAGTTTGCTGGAAATCTCTCCCAGAAAGCAGCTGGTGAAAGATTAGCCTGTTATATTTAGTGAACTTGCAGTATTTAACTGATCATCCCATCTATTTTCTACTTTTAAATCATCACATTTTAGAAACTTCTCCACTAGTCTCCATTAAAAGAAGAGCATCTGGGCAGAGCTCATATCCTGTCATTTCTCCATCACTAAAATTAAGAAAATGACTGAAAAATAAGTTTGGGAAGGATCATTCATTACAAAAAGAAGCTTCAAAGTGATGAAGTGTCTGGAAAAAAAGGAGTTTCATATTAACCATTTTATTTACAAGCTAGTAAACAAAGACATTTTCAAATATAAGCTATCAAAAAAATAATGTTTTATCAGATTTATGGCAGTTTTGTAACACTGGTTCTACTATTTGTGACTTTATTTTTCTCCTTACTTAAAAAACCAATTCTGTGCTCCTCCTCAAGTAATTCGTACTACATATAATACATATAATTCAGTGTGGAAGTCCTTTGTATGGGATTGGCATGCTGGATAACCACAGCATGAGGTCTCCACACTTGGTGGATTTCATCAAAGGGAATCCTGCGGATCTCAAACACACTGCTCATCTTTGGGTTGCAGGATTCAGCCTTTAATTTGCAATAAGTGGAACAGGATGGTGTTATTCTTGTCTAAGAAGTGTTTTGAGAATGATGCATACAACAGAACCTCATTAAAGATCATTAACATGTTACTCTCCAGACCTATAGGCTGAGGGTAGACGTCACACAAAATTACACACTGTCCTCCCTTTTCAACCAAGCACACTCTGTGAGCTCTGCAGTGAGCTCCTGCACTTTATCTCTTCCATTCAGAAGACTCTGTTCAACATTTCTTCTTCTCCCAGAAGTATTACCATAACTTTCAAACATGAAACTGCCTGTGCTAAGTGATTTGAATAAGTTTAGTTTTATATATTTCAAATATATATGCGTGTATGATATAATGTGTATATAAATGATTAGATTTTATAGACACTTAGAGTCTAAGGCTTAACTTTGCTGGGCTCTACCTAAACATAAAAGACTCTGCCCTCAGGGCTTGATATTCTCTTCGTTCTTCTATCACATGCATTGACTTACTTTCTATTGTGCAAGCATACAAAGTTCAGAAGTATGAGAATTACCATGAATTTGCCACCAAACCTCCTCCTTTATTCTCTAAGCCCAGCTGAAATGTCTCTTTGGTAGCCAGAGGCACTTCTTCAGAGGCTCTACTGGGATTGTGCAGACCTGGTCTGTGTAACCAGTTCTTTTGCTACCAAGACACACTCTTTGGGGCCACTTTCCAGTTCATGGACATGTCTCCACCCTGAGCACAGCAAAGTGTCAGTACTGGGAGGTGCAGCTTCTGAAAAACTCGTCAAGGAGCTAAAGATGGAGAGGTGAACCAATACCAGTATAAAACTCTGTGAACTGCTTTTGATTCGTCCCGCTTCCCCATTATTTGGGAAGAAATCCAGATACCAGCCAGATGTTCTAATATTTGAATTAGCAAGGAAACAAAGAAAATGCTGTAGTTTCCAGTCACAGGCTGTGAGCCTTAGTGGAAATCCCATCTCAATTGTAAGCACAGGAGATGCAGGGGCAGTTGTTGTAACAGGGATGATGGCACTAGGTGGTATTGCCTTCTTGATTTAGTAGATTTGACTCCTACTTTTCACACAATGACCTAAAAGAAATATTATACCCCAGAGTAACTTTGAAATTGTTTGTTTAAATTAACTTTCATTTGGATTTATGCTTAATGAAATCTTCAGAGATGCAGACAGCCCTTCTCTAATGAAATGCTCTATCTTTGAACCAATGAACAGGGTTGCCAAACTGTAAGAATTCCTCTCTAAATGAGTGGGCTTTTATAATGTTACACTTGGGTGGCACAGGCAGAGTGCTCGATGATTAGTTTATGGTCTAGATCATTGTATTTTTATTACACTCATAAAAACTGTGTTTCTCCTCATTTTCGTAATGGCTTCAATGAGCTTCTATACCTTCTAGAGGCACATTAAATCGTTATGTGATGGAAGTACTGATTTAGTGGGGCTAGTTTTAAAGTAAGATGCATGTTTTGAATTCTTATCTTAGTCTGATTGCTGACTGAAAAAGTGAAACTACGTTAGAATGAATGAAATCTGTAACGTCTTCCTTACATATAAAGAGGGTTCCCAGCTGTGGCCTGAAATGCAGTACATAAAAGATACAAATGATAAATCTACATCTGTCTGTAAAATGTCTATAATTTTAAAGTATTTTTAAATGGTTTGTGGCATTCTGAGATTTTAACATGATGATGAGGGAATTACAGTATTTTTATTTAAAAAATCTTTTAAGGAGAAAAAAGAAAACAGATAAGAAAGATTATTTTTTATTCTTAAATTTCACTGTAATTTTCTCCCCACTTCTTTCAAAATGATAAATAATCCTATTCTGTGCAAACTCTAGATTCATTTCTCTAAATGATTCTAAACTGGTTTAAAAAGTTATTTTAATTATGTTGCAAAATGAAAAAAAGGGAAGAAAAATGTTATTTGTTTTTCTATATGCAAGCTCTTCTTAAAAGAGAAGACAACATCATTATCCATGAATGGGAAACCTTTTTATTTGATATGTAATTAAAAAAAATAATCCTTGAATTGAATGTATCATCTCATCTTTGCACAGTTTAGACAAAGGCCTTTTTTGTTGACAAAATTTACATGTCAATACAGTTGCTTATAAATATTTCTGTGAAATAAACATAACCCTTCACAAAAAGAGCAGTTTACTCTACATTTAGTAATTTTATATGCTAGCAAAAAGACAATGAAAGTTGTATGCAAATATAACATCAATGTACAGCATAATAATAACAGTTTTTAGTAATTATGCTGCTTGGTATTAATTCGTAGGAGCCTTTTTGTTCAGCCATGGGCTGTGTTTGGAACAGAGATATGCCAGACCCGAGCATCTCTGCTTGTTTGCTGTTTGTGGAAGACATCCACAAATGCTTTAGTTGAGGATGTGCTGGATTCCTGTATCCTACTCTGTGACTGGTCTAAATTATTAAGGGATCATGCTGGCAGTGAAGATACTCCGTTTTCCTCTGTTCCTGCAGTACTTGTGCTCTGTGAGAGCAGCAGCAGTTGAACTTTCCTTCTACCTCCAGGAAAAAAAAAAAAAAAGGAAAGTAAAAGGAGAAAAGAGAACTAGAAAAGAGAAAGGGGAAGAGAAGAGAACAAAAAAAAATAAGGAAAGCAAAATAAAATATAAACAAGAAAAAGACTCAGAAAAGGGAAAAGAGAAAAGAAAAAGGAAAAAAAAAGAAAAAGGAAGAAAGAAAATAGAGGAAAAATTGAAGGAAAGAGGAAGTAATGCATGTTTGCAACAAATCTTTTATAAATGTGCATTTGGAGGGATGATTTATCCCTCTGAAACATTTCTGGAAGAATAGATTTAGTTTGGATTTTTCCTGTCTTTCCTTCATTATTTTTGTTTAGGTGCAACTTTTATGATTGTTTCAGTAATGCAACACTTTAATGACTTTTGCTACTTGGCAAACTGCAAAAAGGCACAGGGCTGAGAACAGAAACAAGTTTCAGTATGTGTGACTTCGGTAGGTCCGTGCTGCTTTAGTGTTAAATATCAAATCTTAAATAGCTGGGTGTTCTGCTAGCATCATTCAGTTTTCCTTTAGTGGATCTAAAAGTTTTGACAGAAAAACAGCTGAACACAGTACCAGGAGCGAGGAGAGATTTTGTGGATGACCCGAATTGAATTCGCGGGAAATTCTTTAATATTTCATGGGCGCCTGCAAAATATGGTGCCAGTTTATTCAGGGATTTGAAAGCAGCTGCAGAGTAAAAGTGTCTAATGAAAATGAAATAAATTTCCTGTGAATGGAATAAATTTTGATTGTGTGTCTGAGTGCAGTAATTATACATGTCACGCAGTAATTAGGCAGTCACAATGTGGCCACGGTGTCTTTCTTTGTCTGCAGATGGTCTGGGAGAACGGCTGTGTCGTTATTGTCATGCTGACACCCCTCGCGGAAAACGGAGTCAAACAGTGCTACCACTATTGGCCAGACGAAGGGTCAAACCTCTACCACATCTATGAGGTACCTACACAAAATATCTGGTTGCAAACGCGACAGTAAGTGCATGGGTTGGTTTCACACGGGGCGAAACGGTGTTGAAACCGATCTGACCTGGAGGTCGAGCTGAGGGCTCTTAGACACACTTGGTGTGCCTTCGAGTAGTTTCAGATTTGCAAAAAGCTGGAGTGCAGCTTTCATAGCCAGGTAGTTTCCATCGAATAAAATATAGTAAATAGTGAGTCAAATATTACAATTTTAATAAGGGCGGTAATTTTGCTTTTCAAATGGTTTTGCAAGTGGTTGATCTATGAGAATGTGTATTTATATTTTACAGGAAAATAGTATTTTTAGAACTAATGAATTTTGCCTTAGGAAAGACATATGTATATCTTTGCAGAAAAGCCTCTATATTGCTGTAGTAATTAATCCTATCTATTTTTACCTCGTCTCAGTCACAACAACAAATATATATTTTTATTTTCTGCTCTGCATTTCTAGCCCAAAATATCATATCACCAGTTTTCTTGCAATGTAACATTGACAATGGCTGTCAGATTTTTCCAGTTGTCCAGCTGTGTAGAGGAAGAAAATAGTACCACAATGCCAAATACGAAGAAATATGGAGATATTGTGAAGAAATATTGTTATTTAAGCTAAAATGCGAACAAACTCATTGCCTGAAAAGATGAGCTCTGCAAAGAAACTGCATTTTTTAGTGCTTATTTTTCTTCATAGCAAAGAAACCAAATTTTCACTTCTCATATGAGTTCAACTCAGATTTTTAAGACCTCCAAGAGTGTCCTGGGCAATGCACTTGTGGGCAATTCCAAATAGAAAGCAACTGCCAGTCTAGGACATTTTCAATGCAAATTACCTTTTGTATTCACATTATGTTACAAACTTAGTGAATTTTCTTTTGCATTAAAATTGTCAAGATTTTTCTTATGTTTTCAGTACAATAGCAGAGACAGCTAACCCCTTTCTGACAACTACACTGATTACTATATCAGTTTTATTTTTTCTCCCCACTACTGACCAATTTGCTAATAAAAATAAAATTTTCATGCATTTCCTTCATCCCAGACCTCTTACACCTGCAATCCTGAAGATGTGACTTGCAACCAAAATTGCTGATCTCCACTTGTTCCTTCCCGTGGGTGTAGGTAAATCTTGTCTCTGAGCACATCTGGTGCGAGGATTTCCTCGTGAGGAGCTTCTACCTGAAGAACCTGCAGACAAACGAGACACGCACAGTGACACAGTTCCACTTCCTTAGCTGGAACGATCAGAGGGTTCCTGCTTCCACGAGATCACTTCTGGATTTCCGCAGGTAAAGCACAAAGTATGACTTTTTGTTTAAGATGACACTGGTCTGAGGAACTAGACTAGTGCTTTTATTTGTCCTTTAAAGATTTTTGGTTTGAAAGGGGGTTCCTCAGCCTGTGATGTCACAATGCTAAACTAACACAAATATCTGCAATAGGTTGATGTTTGGTGTTGTTTCACACAGAGATGTTTCCTGGGTTTAAGACATACTCATTTCCCGTTCAGAGATCGATACCTTTCTTCTTTTTGTACAGTTCTTCAGTGCTGCTTCTGTAATTCTTTGTTTTTCAAGAATTTATCCATTCTGAAATTTCCAGGCTTTTTGTGTGGCTCCTCTAAGATCCTTATTCCAGGACTCTCACAAATAAATTAGGAAGTATGAGTATGCTTGAAAAAAAGAATCACAATGGAGTCATATGGCGATAACGTCATTCCCATGGGAGCATTTGCTCATAAGGATCCAACAGTGAGGTCTGTAGACCTTTGGCTGCAGGAAGGTGAAAATTTGAGAAAGCAGACAAAAATGTTGACAAAGAATACCCTCTGGAATTTTAAAGAAAGTCCATGTGGCTTTAAAATACAAATACACAAAGGCAAAAACCTGTGAAAGTCCTTGCCACCTTCTCTAATGTTTGCTGTGTCTATCTAAATTTTAATTTGAAAATTAAAGCCATGCATGATAAATACTGGAGCGAAATAATCTTCATTTGATTGCAAACCGTGCCCAGTGCATCATGTGTAGGTGTTAGCGTGTATCAGCTAATCCACAGCGATGCGCTTATGACTAATGAAAAGAATCTCCGAGAGGTTTGGGGAGTTGGTTCTCAATCCACAAGCGGCCTGTGGGATCGCGTGTTGTTCTCTCTGCACTACAATATTATCTACAACCCCCCGAAGTGATTATAAGGGGCTCAGCGCTCAAAAGGTCCAAACTTGTTTCTTTCAATAAGTGCTGGAAGCTCTGACTGATGCCAGTGGAAGTTGTGCATCTGCACCCGAGGGGAGAAGCTGGCGCGTATCCAACAGGAGCTGTTTGCACAGTTGTCTGTTGGCAAAATTTTACCCTTAAAAATTTGGGACTTAATGCCGCCCTTCATCCATTCAGTATTCTGGTACATCTTGCAAGGCTTTTCAAAGCACAGAGTCATCTCACACGGTGCAGGTCGGGTAACAGAGTACAGCTGCTGTGAGTCACTTGGGGCTGTGACCAGGTGAGACTGTGAGGATATGCTACAGGCGCAACACAAAAGCAATAGCGGAGAAAGGAAGCATAGGATGGAGCTGAAATTGTAATTGAATTTTCAAGGTTTTCTTCTCCGGGTTCAACTTGAATATGATTTTTATTGGTTGATTTCCCTTTGCTTGTGGTGCTGAGGAAGTTGCCTGTAGTGAATTTCTGTACTGAAAATTCTGAGTCGGTTCCATTAAGCTGTGTGAGGTGCAGCACAGGGCCAATGCAGTGACCGACTTCGCTCTTTTTAAAGTTAGTGGGAAATCTGGTAGCAATTCTAACTAGAGTATAAATGAGCCTGTACAGCCAGGACATCTGAAGTTTGGAGTGCCTCAGCCCTGACTTGCTTCAGTAAGGATTGAGGTCTCTGCATGAGCTGCAGGATTAGATCTACAGTAAGTCACAGTTCACATCGCCAAGAAAGTGCTTCTTAGGGTGACATTGTGTAAGGGTTAAATAGCCGAGTTGAAGAAGTGTTGTGCAATACTCTGAAAAAGAAAAATGATAACTAGATGAGAAAAGTAGTGGAGCTGCCACTCTTTGTATTTAAAGCCAGTATGGGAATGAACCTGTTAAGATTTAATTGAATTCTGAGTGTTCATTTCACATGTATTCACAGTCCAGTGTAGGGGACTGTAATCATTTGCTACGTGCAGATTTTGTACAATGAACTCATAGTACTGAATGCATAGTAAAATTCCGCCTGAAAAGGAATTTTGGCATGCAAAATAGCTGGTCTATGAATCTCAGTTTTCTTGGTCATCTGATCTTTTTTTGCTTTTTCTTTTTTTTTTGTTTTTTTTTAATGACAAAAAACCTAATGCACTATTGCTAAAATAATGTATTTGGAATTCATTTATACAATTCATGTTTTGCACCTGAAGCTTTCTATTTAAAGTACAAACTCTGCTGGATTACAACAGCTGAGTCATAAAGCCCCCAGAACAAATGCCTGACAGTGCTACCATACTCTTAGTAGAGTAGTGCTAGGAGGGGGCTACTCTCATTTCTTTTAATCTTATCTATGTTTTTATGTGCATTCAGTGTGTTTGTATATATATATGGATATGTGTGTATATTTATATATTCACATACATATATGAAATTAAGCATATACATAACCAACCCTCTATTTTTTATAATTCATCACCAAGAAAAATTGGATTCCCAAAATTACCTTGCCCAGAGTCTGTCTGTGGAAATATGGACCTTAAAATTTTTATCGAAGTAAATTTTCCTAGTCTCTTTGAAAACTGAAAGCTTACATTTCTCTTACTATGTATCAGACAGTGATTTAGATGATTTTGCATCTAGAAGATACATTAAACCTTGCTGAATAATCTATCATACTGTCATAATATAGGTATAAATTGCCAAAAAGAGATTATTCTATATATTTCACAAATCTATACAAAAGACAGTCCCTGAGAGGTGAGGCTACTACGGAAAACACTGGTCAGTTTTAAATGCTTCTGGAGTCCTAATTTCATTTTGAACAATAGACCAATCATTATTGCTCTGGACTAGCTTGTTAGTCATGCACTGATATGTGTCATTAAATATTTCTTGAGCCCAGAGGGAGCACATTTACACTTTAAAGAGGGACTGCTAAGCTAAAAGATAATTAGCATCACATGTGAGGGCTTTGCTTAAAATATATATCTATTATGCTATCACTTCTCGCTGTGTGCAATGGCATTTACTAACACTGCTCACTTTAAAAATGGACAAATTCTTATTTTGCCAGCTAATTAGCGGTTGCCAGTGTCATTTTTGTGATGTTGCAGCTAGTAATATGAGCCCAGTTGCATAGTCACAAAAGTGATCATTGGAAACTGTGACTCTGCTGCAGGGACAATGTGGGAAACCCCTTTTCTGAGCCTCTAACGACCTCTGACCTTTGCTTGCTGATGGTTTGCATGATGATTTCTTTTTCACTCAATGAGCCAAGGGTTGGTTTGTATTACTAATCATTCTTTCTAAGTTAATTCTTCCTGTATATGTATATATATATATAATATATATTTTCTTCAACATTCAAGAACTTTGCTTACTGATGAATTTTCAGCTCACTCTCATTAGCCAGAATTAAGAATGAAATGAGATGTTGCTGCATTTCTAAATATTTTCATAAACTATATATAGACAAAGCTCTGAACCAGCTGGATTGAAACCCTTTGTTTTAATGTGTTTTCTGAAATGTGTGATAATGAAAATGTTTGAAACGCCTTCAATAAAACTGACAAACATAAGGTGTCTTTCCCTAACATGTGTCTCTGGCTGTCTGATTTACTGAGAGGTCTGATAGATTTAGATCAAGTTTGTCATTGAAATTATATTAGGACTTTGGTAGATAGCTAGTCACAACATGCAAATATCATATTAGTGGGACCATGCAAGGAACAAAGGAACCACACAAGCAGAAAGAAAAATGGTAAATACCCCTTCTGTAGCGATTAGCTTTTATTTAATACTTTAAATGCAAAAGCGACTCTTTGCTAATGCACATGATGGGGATGGGGGGAGGATGACCAGCTGCACATCAGGAAATGCAGACTGATTGTATCATGTGTCTGTAAAGGCATTTCAAATATAACTTATTGTACAATACAAAAATAAATATCAGGCTTTACATCATATAGAAGCAGCTGATCCTCAGATATGACCATCAAGAATTGAATGATTCATTCATGTGTAAAGTCTGCTGCAGCTTAAGTCATTGAGGTTTTGCTTGGTACTGCCTGTGTATATATGTATTTATGGACCTATAAATGGTCCATTTAACTTCTGAAGTCAAGTGCTCCTCAATGACTTACCACTTATTTCACAGACCATTGTTCTACTGCATTAATTACTTACATCCAAGGAATATAAATAGAGACAGGATGTCTCTGCAAGTATGATTTACATAAGTAAGCAAGAGAGTAAGAATTGTGAAAAAGTCCTGAATTCAAATGTTTAAAGGGAATAATTACAAGAACTTAATATTGTTTTCAAGTTTGGTTAGAATATTAAATAACAAAAAGCAGAATGTGAAAACATAGTTTCATGGGATATCACCAACACCTTCATAGCCTGTTTGGGTTGAGTTCCAGGTATCCCAACACCCTGTCAGAAGTTTAGGCATCCTCAGGCTATACTGTAAACAATGTTTAAAGATATATGCATGTTTTCACAGCACAGATGTTGGTGAATAGTTGAACAGCCAAGAACTAAATGATTCAGTAGGTTAGTTATGCTTTAAAATTCATAATAACATCATACCACTGTTGCCAAATTTCAGCAGCTCAGTTCAGTTTAGCCATCAGGATCCTGTGTGACACTTGCACTGAGATGGGAACTATTGGAGGGTCTGGGCACCCCTTGAAAGCTACCCTATGAAATGGTTTTATAGGAGACCTTCTAGCTCCAGTGAACTCAAACACCTCATCAAATAATTTGAATGGAAGGTTTTGATTTCCTGAAGCAATGCTTTCCCATTTTAGTCTTTATTCATCTTGCCTTGTTAACATATGTGTGCATATTTTATGGGTTTTTGGGCCTGTAACATACTTGACATGCAAAATATATCCTAGAGCAAAAGAGAGGGCTTGAGATTTGGGGGGTTTTTTAAGGCAATTTAAATGGAATTAAACCAATTTTGTGGGCTCTATTCTTAGACTAAGTGTCTTGGTTTGCTTGAACACGAGTAAATTCCTTCATTGAGTTTACATATCAGCAGACCTATTCTATGACTGTACTTTTATTGATTGATTTCACATATATCCTCTTGCCACTGAGACTGTTTAATCAGGAAGCTGTTGAAGACAACAATATTTAAATATTAAATGTGTAAGACTTTTGCAGTAGAACCAAAGCAGTAAAGCTTACTGATGGGTTTAGTTATTTTTACTACAATGCATTACATTTTAGAATTTTTAAGAAGCCTTTCAGGAGATTCGGTATTTGCCTTTTTGGGAAGAAGTGGTGTTACAAATCAGCACACATTGTACAAAGAGTACTGGATTAGCCATTTTTAATTCTGGATTCAGTTTGATACCCCTTGATATTTCTTTGAGCAAGCTCATGAACTCAGAGTTTGCTTTAAAATTAATGCATCTCAAGATAATCTTAATTTTGGAGCTACATGAACCTTTTGAGAAAATAGCTCATTTATTTTGCCCAGACAACAGTAATAATGGGATGTTTTCTGGGATTTCTACAGCAGCAAAGCAGAAGTAAACTTTAAACAAGATTATGTACCTAACAACTGCTTGTTATATTAAAAAATTATCGTCCTGAGTATTTCTTTGAAGACAGCAATATTTGCATTTTCTTATTGCTTATTTTTGACAGTTGGCTAAAGAAAAAGTTATAATGTGCTTAATTAATTTTTTGTGTCTGTTTTATTTCAGAAAAGTAAACAAGTGCTACAGGGGTCGCTCTTGTCCAGTAGTTGTTCATTGCAGGCAAGTACAATTTCTAAAATAGCTTTAGAGAGATCTGTATGTGTTAGAATTTAATATAGATATAAGTTAAGTGGGCAAGTTAAAGCTTTAGATTAATCACTAAACAGATTGTGAGGTAGGCTGCAGGTATTAAGTTTAATTCAACTGGGTTTTAATGCTAACTAATACTTAGGATCTATTTTCATAATAAAATTATCCTTTCATATGATTTTGTAGACATTGAGCCATGACTTAACAATGTATGGTCAGACTTTCCAGTATAAGTAGCACTTCAATTTCATATATTTTCAAAATTATGGAGGTTTCTTGCATTCTCTCCCAATTTAGCCCTATTTTATTAACAGACAATTATGTTTTATTTCTTCTTTACTTACTTTTAGAGATCATGGTAAGAGGGCAGTGTCAGGGAGTGGAAAACTGCCTGAGTAATCCTTTAATCACAAGTTATTTTTAGGCCTGACAATCTGATAGATGCACACAAAGGCTGTCAGGCAGGTCAGTGGAAAACTTTGCTATAATGTTGCGTTTTGCCATTGGAGGTTCTGAGTTGTAAGGAGAATGCTGCACTGCTTATCAAAAATATCCTTGTAGATAATGAAGGTAGAAAACCAGCCCTGCTAAGAGGCAGGATGTTTACCATGTGGCACTCCACTTTGGATGGTACTGAGGAGGGAGGGGACATGTTTCTCACCTGGTTCAGCTGAGTCACCTTCCACTGGATACAAGGAGGCCTCAGCAGAGGTGAATGCTCCAGAGGAGGCTTGTTTGCATTGCCATCAGGAAACCTGAGATAATAAATATCTGAACCAGAATGAAGAGCCTTCAAGTTTCTCATTGTTTCCTTACTACAATGGATGGAAATATGTACCATCGGCTCATCAGTTTTTGTTTTTATTGATCCTGATCGCTACCTTGTCTCTCATTATTCAGCTTAAGTAATAAGATTGTGTCTTTGTTCCCTTCATAGACAGAGAAAAAAAAAATTATTACCTCCTTTTCTCTAAACAGCAATCTAATAACTGGAAGAAAAAAACCCTCTTTCTACAGAGACTTAACAAAAATTAAGTTTCATAGTCTGCCTGTAAACAGAATGCAATAACGCACTCCATGCTGTTCTATTGTTTCTCCTTTCGTTAATCTTGTACACAAATTGAGCTATCAATAAAAATAATGGCTTAATTAATAAAACTACATACCAGTCTAATTGGTCACACATGCACCTTTGTAAAAATTTTGGGGAGGGAAGGAAAAAAAACTTTTGCTTAAAGTCTTAATTATGTTTGCTAACAGCAGCTCTAAAAGAGCATCACGCTGGCAATTACACATTGCTTTCTGAAAGGGACAGAAGCTGCATTCAGATTAGGGCACTTTCCCCCTCATGAGGCTCGATCTCACATCTCTGAGGAAGGGCTATTGATACATAAAAGTTAAAGCTGTTTCTTAGGAATTACATTATAATATTTTTTATGGTCGTTGAAAGCAAGGAAGAATTAAAGAGAAAGGTAAAAATAAAAAAACAAACCACTTGTGATGTATAGTGAGGAAAGATTGCAGTCCCTCCGTAACCAAATATTTTAGTTCTTGAACAGGTCTCTGCATTCCCTCTGAACACTGTGTTCAAATGCATTTTTGACTGTTCTGGTTAATGTTCTGGTTTCACCTATTCTGTGATTTTTGATCTCAACTGACTGTAAGGTCATTGAAGAGAAATGATATCCTGGTTTAGGGTTAGTGACTTTTCCACTGTTGTTTAAAATGTTTTTCTCACATAAACACAACTTGGCTTAAAAAATGAAAGCAAAGGCCCATTATTCATGCAGGTTAGTGGTTAATCTTCCACAACCAGCTTGTGTTAATTCAGTTCAAGCTCTCTCTGCTTTCTCAGTACCCTACCTTAACCCCTCATTCTCTCCTCTCCCCTCATGTGTAACAGTATGTAACATTAAAGGCAGGTACCTTCACGTTGAATCTAGATTCACATTGATAGGCTTTATTTTTTCTTTTTCCTTTTCTTTTGGCAGCGATGGTGCAGGAAGAAGTGGAACCTACATTCTAATTGACATGGTTCTCAATAAAATGGCCAAAGGTGAGAATCGAAAGGCTTGTTACTTCCTCAGTACTGAAAAATGTGCTTGTGTTGCCATGACAACAGTGGGGGAGCAATAGTCACAGAAAATCTGAGAATAAATTAGAGGCAAATTGTACTCTTTCCTGAATGTTCTATAGTTTTATTTTCATAACAATTTTAAACAGCAAACCCTAACACAAATGCTTTGTGAATGAGCAGGTGTGTTTATGCTGTTGAAAAGTATTTGAATTTTTAAATTTATCATTTAAAATAGGACTACTGTTTTTAGAAGTAGAAGCCTCAGGTCTGTACAGTCCTGGTTTAGTGGTTCCATGGGTTAGGTCCTGGGCTGGTCATGACTTGCTCAGTCCCCTGTCACCTACCCAGCCACGATGGTCAGTTGTGATCACTTTGCTTTTTGTAGCTGCCCATTGACACCAAAGGACCTAAAAGTGCTGGTGCCAGACAGGGCCTCATGTGCTGCACAAATTTGTCTCTTAGAAGGAAAAAGACTGTAGTGAACAGGAACAGGGGACTGAAAATAAATCAGTTAATTCTCTGTTTCAAGGTCTGGCACTATCTGTTTGATGCTGAACAATGTATTTAACTTTTCTGTTTCTTAGTGGGCTTATCTGTGATATGTAATTTTATGAAGTGGGAAATCATCTGCCAACATAAACATAAACTGTTGTTTGTTGAAAATGAAGTCTATAGATCTCTAGAGATTGAGACTGTTCCTTTATTTTTTCTTGATTGGTAAATGGTTCATGATGGGAAGTACTTAAGATACCCTAAAATAATTTTTGATAGAATTAAAGAAATTTTTAATACTGATACTGTCTTCAAAAGGATGGAAGGTGAAAGCAGGCATGTAAACCTGACAAAAAATATACAGAAATAGTAATTTACCTTTACTGATTCTTAACCTGAATTCTTAAGCCACCTTGATCTGGCATTATGCACATCTGTGTATTTAATGAAAAAGGATTAGTTCTAAAAACATATTAATTTATATAGAGAAACAATAATATTTAGTTCTTTGAGTTCTAGTCACTTTACTGTTATTGTTTAAAATCTTCTAACACAGATATATTTTTATATGTAGTTTAAAAATACACTCCATGCTTTACAGTCATTTGCTGTTGCATCCTGAATATTCCAGTCCTCTGAGACATGGTGGCATCCTGTCCCTTTAGAAAGAAGATTTTAGCTTTTTTTTCCTCTCTGGATTCTGTTAACATGTCTCGTCAAACATGGACTGAATTTTCTGCCTGCAAGCATCATGTGGAACTTGCTGCTAATGCTAAAAGAAGTTGTATGTTTGCCTTCTCCTTTGCACCATACTGAAAATAAATTTTTCAGTGGGATGAGATTAGTTTTTCTTGCTCGTTGGAAAATAGGTTTTTGGTCTATGAAGGAATATGAAGATATTTCCAATGCTTGTTACGTGCCACGTGACAACCTAGACTTTAAAAATAGAAGCAATGGTACATCGTAAAATTAATGCAGACCTTTGTTAAGTGTTTGTTCAGCTCATTTCAGTCATCAGCAGTGAGAAGCCACAGTGAAAACTAGATTTAAAGTATACGCAATTTATTGGCGTAAAGAAGTAAATGAGAAGTATTTTCTAGCTCCGGGCTTTCAACCACTTAAGGGAGGGTTGACTTTGTTGTAAAAGCACTGAAGAATGCCATTTATTGACTCCATTGTACCATGTAATGTCAAATTCCATTTTAAGTGTGGGCTTAGCGCTTCACAATACCAGACAAGTCATGTGAAACTGGCCAGAGAAAGGCGTCACAGGGCTTTTTGGAGATCGGTCACCCCCATTTTGTTCTTGACCTGCTCCCCTCTGCCCGTGGGGGTGTGCGACGTGAAATCCCCTGACCTGGTGCTTTGGCTGGAGTTTAAATGAAAGATCAAAGGGCAGAGCGGGCATCTCAGCCCTGCTGAGGTGGGCCTTTCCCAGGCTGTCACACTGTGCGGCCGCCAAAGGTTTTGTTCGGGCGGGAGCCGCGGCCCAGCCTGTGCGGCCGGGGCCCTCTTTGTCTGGCCTGAGAAGCTGGAGGCCCAGGTTGAGGATCCAATGTTCATCAAATGATCAAAGGCCTGAAGCCCTGGACATGAAATCTTTCTTTCCATTTCCTTTTCTTAGAGAATGAATTGCACGAGTGGCAAAGAATGCCCTTTCCAAAGCTTTTATGTGCAGTGCGAGGGCTAACTTCAGAGTCCTTCAGCGCTGAACATAAAAATGTAAGTGCACTTTCAATCTGGGCCCAGCTGCAGGGCCAGCATCGAGGAACCCTTCTTTCAAAAAGGCTTTTAAGGATTAAGGCCTTCAGTCTTTCAAAAAAAAAAAAAAAAAACCAACCAAAAAACCCCCTACACTACGGACTTTTAAGAATAAACTTAGAATAATTTGAGTTTCTTGTTCCACTGTCTGGTTTATTAGAAAGTAGACAATAATGCATTTTTAAATCAAAGTAAATAGAGGAGTACTTAGTTTCAGCAGTGGGAAAGTAGAAAGCAATCAATAAATGCCTTGGCTCTTTAGTGGGGTCTTTAATAGGGTAGGTTGGGAAAAGGAGCTCCTTTTTCATGTAATGATTTACTTCCCTGCATTCTCTTAGACAGTTAACTGTAAATGCCTTTGTCATTTACAATTTCTTCTACTGCTCATTGAATTAGTGCTAACACTTACTCTGTTAAACACATAAATTCATATCTTCTACTACCTTGCTTTTTGCCATCCCTTATATTATTTAAAATGCTGAAAACCACCAGCAAGGGACCTGATCATAAAGCCTAAAGCAGGTGAAAAGAAATCAAGTTGGAGAAGATTTTGTACTAGACATCTGCCATGTCAGTTGGACAGCCCCAACCTCTTTGAGGAAGGGAATTTTAAGGAACAAAATTTTAAAAATTCAAAGCATCTTGGTCTAGGACATTTGCAGAATGATAAAAGTTGGTGCCAATGGCAGAAATGCCCCCATGGTGTACTTAGGGGCTGATGGGAGGACATGCAGGAGCTCACAGGAGCACTGGGATGGATTTCCTGTGGGGGCAGGTTCTTAATAAATTTCACTTTCCTGAATGCAGTAAATGCAATGACTGCATCTGTGCACTGACTCCAAACAGCCACATTAAATAATCTTCTTAGATACTGGAACAGTCAGAGAGCAGTGATGTCTACCCAGTGCTACCATTCCTGTGTCATGTCAGCAGAAAGTCTTAAAGGCAAAATGTATCCTTCTGTTCAGTTGTATCAATAATTAAAGCTGCTATTTATTGTGCAGTTTTTCTTCCTAGATTCATTCATATGCTGTTGCCTAGAAAGTTTGGACAATTGATCCTTGATGTGTGTTCTGTGGTTCTTTGATTCTGTGATATGCGGAGTAGTTACAAGACCCTGATCCTATACCCATCAAACTAATAACAAAAACTAAACAGTACTGAATCTGACCTTACCATAACATATTTAAATACTATTTAGCATGTTTTAACTATGATTTCTATTTAACTATGATAGCTCCTTGTACACAGTTACAATTTTAAGACAGTTAACAAATCACCTCTCACTTTGATGACAGACTGCTTAGTACAAGCTTTGGTTTTGAGTTAGAAGATGAGAAGTGACTTAGTTCAAACCATGTGCATTTTCATGATTTAAATAAATAGAGAAAATGATAATGGATTGTTTCTGTAGATAACAATGCTTGCTGGATTTTTGATAAAGGCTGTTTTTCTGAGGCTGATTTCTGCTGAGAATTTCAATGTTCTTGATGTATTTACAAGTTTTATCCTTTGTTGTTAGTGAAGATAAGCTGATTTAGATTTAGTCTGCTTGATATTCCTTCCTCACCCCAAACTCACAGTAACTCTGAGCTGATCAGGTTTTTTTTCTTTTTGTGTGATCTAGAGAAAAGTCGAGAATTTTCTCATTTCATGTCTTTCCCGCAGGCTTATTGTAGTGACTAAAAGTGTGATATACTGCAAGACATTTTTATTGAGTGTTTCTGGCACCCAAAAAAAAAAAAAAAAAAAAAAAAAAAAAAAAAGGAAAGGAAAGGAAAAAAAAAGAAAGAAATGAGATTATGAGTCTTCCCACTTTCATTTTTCTGAACTGAGAGGCTTGGATAGTATAGATAATAGTTTGATTTTTAGATATTAATCCAGTCAGCAGCTGCTTAGGGTTTGCTGACCATCCATTTTCTTGTGTTTGAACTAGCTGGAACAAGATGAGTCAAAGGAAAGGCAAATATGAATTTTAAAATCCTTTTAAAGTATTGATTTCCAAATTCTAAAACCCAGCAAAAAGATTTGATTTAGCAAAGCCAAACCCACAGTTTATTCTCTTGTATTCAAAAGCTTGGATTATAATTGATGAGCACACACACTCTAGCCTGGGCTGGCTGTTGAGGTTATCTCCCCAAGTCCTTTCCTTGCCCCTGCTACCCTATTGTCTGAGGGTCTTGTGAGTCAGCTCCTGAGCAGATGCAGTTTATACCGTGACATTTTAAGGCAAAACAAAAGATTCCTTAATTCGCCTTCTGACTCATCGTGATCAAATGATTTGGGCTAATCTGAACCCTTGCTGAGGTTTTGCTTATCTGCTGTGTGGATTTAACAATCATAATGAAGTTGTGGGGTTAGCTCCTCTCTGAAAGGATCTTATGAAAGGAAATGCTTGCCCATACTCGTGTTAAGATGGATTCAATCTGCTTATTTTTGAGTCCTTATGCAAAGTCTGAGAAAATTCTATTGTTCATTTGTACAGATACAAGTCCAGAGCTGACTGTTTCTGACATGCTTTTGGTGAATGAGGGAATATTTTTTCAGCCTAGGATCCAGCTTCCCCCGTGAAAATAAAATTTAACATACTACATGTCATAGAGCGGTTAGGAGAATATATGGTGTAAAAGAGAGATTACCTTTTTTTAGAGGTATCTAATGCTAAGAGGACAAAATGTGGTATTAGAAATAGGTGGTATTCTGGATAAAAATTTACAACTGAAAAA